TTTAATAATACTTTGACAAAGCGTATATTTTTGTTATTATTTCGTGCACGCATTAAAACATTCTTCGGTGCTGTGCTAAGATAGGTTACAGTGAAAAAACAACATTTTATAAGTAGGAGCAATAAGTTTAACGTCAACTTCGGCTTTCCATCTACCGCACCCCAAAAAAAGAAAAAAAGAAAAAAAAAACGTTGTCGACTATTTGAGTTTTGACCCAGCATGGAACGAAGTAAAATAAACTAGTTAAAAAAATCCTTATTCACGAAGCACTGGGTTGCCACATTTCGTAATTTTTGAAGCGGTCACGCGCCAGACTAGTCCAACCGTCGACATTGCTGACGGATTGCCTTGAACAGCCAACTCGTGTCAAGATGCATTAACAAAATGAATGGATTGGGACCCCTGCAAATAACAGGCACGAACACACGTAGACTCAGAAACAGAAGCTGTGAAGCGGGCGTCTGCACCAATTTACGCAAATAGAGTAATTTCGAAATTGAAGAGAAGAAAACTTTTTGCAGCCCACATTATGCACCTAAAATACCGTGCTTTCTAAGATGAAAGACATATAAATGTAACATGGGTGCCACTTGGAAGACCAAGGGAAGACCTCTGGAGAAAGAACACCCGATTAAATGCTTACAAACATGTAAACAAATATAGGCGTTGCTTTATAAACATCAATATACCATTTGTTTTGTATGTACACCTCACACCTTGAACCAATACCACTAATGCAACAACCGAGAATTTTTTCAAAATCATGTTTTTCTAGTTTTCGCTGACCAATAAAACAATAATCGCTCATAACCTGTAATAAAATCAGTCGTATACAAATTAGGGTATCTCAGCTGAAAGACAATTTCATCATACAAATATGATAACGATAACCGATAGATTCACTTTACGTTCTGCTAGCGCCAAAGTAAAAACAAAATCTTGAGAAAAGCAAATAAATTAAATTTATTTTATATAAATCACTTCAGCTATAAAATTGTTATTCTTTACCGCTATATGTACCCTTTAAGCATGACAGCTTGATTGGTGAATTCGTCCAATCACTGAAAACAATGCGGAAGGGAAATTATAAATGTAATTTTAAGGTACAGTTTAATAAACAACTTTTTTACTGCTGCAATCTTCATCAAGCTAAAAGAAAGTAGCTTGATTTTGATTTTTCTAGTTAGTTATGAAGATTTACATGATATTTTTTTTATGTACCCCGACTTGATGGCATTAGGATATTACTTTTCTAGTTATCGTTTTCTTTTTTTTTTTTTCTTCTGCGTTTTGATTTTGTTGCAATAGGACGTTAAGTAGCTGACGTACGATCTGGAAGGTAGAAATCAACCTCAGCGCTTCGATCTGCTTAAAATAGCATTAATTTCAGCTCGTGTTCAGCGTTATAATAATCTTTATTGCTTGGTGATTCTTTTATTTAAAAACAAAACAAATGCACTTACAAAGCATCAAACTGTAAATTGAAAATATTTTTGGTACTATTTTTGCGGGAAGCGTTTGATTTAGATCATCATAGAAAACGTTTAAACGGTAAACGGGAAATGTTTATTTAAATCACCATAAAAATGACCATAGAAAATGTTTAAAACTTATGGAATGACTTCCACGACGCACATGACTTAAACTGAATATGTGGACTATGTTATTCCTGAACTCGCGAGTACAGTGAAATCCACGTATAACAACACCACATATAACAATGTACTGCTTATAGCGATGAATTTCTAGAGTTTATAGACCAGAAACGATCAGTTTCTAGTCCTGATACAACAATAATCGGTTAAAACGATTGCATTTTCAGGGTTTCTCACTATCGTTTAAAGGGGGTTGCACTGTATCGGTCGTATATTACGCAGACGTCGTGATTTCTTTCCGGCTGGAGTTAGGTTGCTTTTATATGCCTCATTATTTGTATCTCATCTGAGCTACCAAAATTTAGCCCGGGGTGCGACAACCAAAATAAATCTCCAAAACCTGTTTTTTACTACAGAAAAGAGTGAAGAATCGTGTGCCGTGTGCTACGAAACTAACGTTTTAGGGAGCTGTTCTTTTATATTTAAGTACTTTAAATTTCGACTTTGTATGAAGTATACACAGAAATGTCTTGAGACGAATTAATTTTTTTAATGTTTTTTGTCATCAAATTAGGGAAAAAAACCTATAACATATTCCACTCGTCAATCTGATCTCTCGGTAGTAGAGACTTCACGCACAGATTATGGCTTTCAGATCACTAAAATCACCTTTCTGAAATGTTTAAACAACCTTGTGCGCTATGAGTTTGATATAAAATCTTTTGGCACGCGTGAAATTGGGGAATATTTTGTTTTATCAAAACAAGCAGTCTATACTGTTGTTGATTATTCGGTAGCCTTTTTCTAATTTGCTTTAATTTTTGCCAAGTGTTTGCATTATATAATTTCTTGTCCATGTTTTTTGTAACTGCTGTGTACCTGTGGAAGTCGAGGACCAGTCAAACTGCTTGCGCAACTTTCTCCTCCACTCTCGCCGTATGTATATCGGAAATAAGCGTTATAATTATTATATTATATTATATATTATATTATGTTGTTTCTTATACTCTACCCTGGTTAGTTTAAACAAAAATACAAATATTTTAATGAACTATTTTGGTTCATAGGGTAAACCATAAAGCTTTAACTATAAATATTTGAAGTTTTTTTTTATAGGCGAGGGAGAATAAAAAACGTGTTTCTTTTTGAAAAATTAACAAAACAGTTAAAGTAAACGCGAAAATTTTTTTCTTTCATTTTAGATTTTGTTATGAACAATATATACCTCTTTCTATCTGGCATTTTTTTCACCGTCTTTACTATTCCTGTTTTGTGTATTTATTTATTTTAATATGTTTATTTTTACCCTTTGGTCGCAGTAAATACATGCAATAATGTACAATATTTTACAGCGGATAATTCTAGCCCGCCGGAAGGCATTACTGTAGTACGTGTCTTTCGAATTTGGATACACGTCCGACAAGGCACGTCAACGTTATGATAAATATTTAAAGATTTTCTGGATGCCGTAACAAAGACCCAAAAGCAAAAAGTTTTTTTTTTCAGTGGTTGCACCTTTGTGCACAGTTCCGTATAGTATTAGAGCTGACAGTAGACATTATGGTTAAGCCGTAGCTTCCACGTTTACAACAGTGCTCGAGCTCCTATGCCAGAAACGTTGCGATCCTTTTGTGAGTCAATTTAAATGTTTCAAAACACCGCGTGGAGATAGGTTCTCATTTTTATTGAAAATCTGTAAAAAATTTCAGAATAAAAAAAAAAGTTCTACAATGTAATATCTGCAACTTAGGGTCATTTCCGAGATCCAACTTTTTTTTTATTTGTAATTTTCCTCACGTACTTCTTTGCCGTGCATTGCAGACGCTCGAGTAATGTTCCGAGGTTACAAGGAAATCCTCTTTTCGAAGTACGGGCGTTTGTGTACATGCAGTTCCACGGCCAGTTCCGAGGGCACGCCGGCGTATGTCTGAGTCGCTGCCCAAACATAGATTGTTCCTGCACGGCAGTGTTTTTGTGTGACTTTATTTTTTACATACTATACTTTGCAGTGGACGTGCTGGAGGAGATAAAAATTGTATTTGTTTTTGTCTCGAATATTCATTCCAGGTTTTGACCTTCTTTGAACAAGAACACCTCTTTTGACCACTGGATGTGTGCCTGGTAGTGTAGCAGGCATTTCTGCGTCGGACACGAATTGGGTGGCGTAGTTGCGAGCCCTCTTGCAGGTCGTTTGGTAATTCGCTCAAAACTAGAGTTTGCATCTATAGTGTGGATTTGTATAAATGATACAGCATCTTGCTCTATCGAGCGTGCACAGAAGCGTTTTATTCGCATCGTTTTCGATCGTTTTTTTGGACTTAAGGTTTTTCATAGTCACGATCGGCTGCTCAAGTGACTTGGTTTACGTACCCTGTTTGACACACGGCGTTGTCGGGATATCTTGTTTTTACACAGTCTTGTCAACGGGCTTGTAGACTGTCCTGTCTTGTTAAGCGCTGTATGTTTTCACGCCGCACCACGTTCGAGCCATAATCGCTACTTTTTCTATCCATCCACGTTTTTTCAGATGTATCCCCTAATACGAATGCAGCATGACTTTAATAAGTTGGATTGTTCGCTCCTAGAAATATTAAATGACAAGTGAACTTTTCGGCGTAATCCAGGGATATATTGTTTGCAGGATCCCAGTGGTTTGTAATTTTAAGCGTTTTTTTTTGCTCTTTTGGGGTTGCTGTATTTGTATTCTCAGTACCTCTTCTTCTTTACCTCATATTGCTTGTCAAATGTCGCTATGTGTTCTACATTTGTTTTGTGAGTGCTTTCTTGGGATAGCTATGTTTTCTTACTATTTATACTTTTATTTTCGCGGCATTTGCTGTGTAGCACACAAACGGCCCTGTTCTGTTTGTGGACGCATAAAATAAAGACTATTACCATTCGCCTCCACGGGGTACAATATTTCCACCTCACAAACTATTTTTTCTTGCGTTTTTATTTATCTTTCTCGTTCTCATAATCTCTCTCTCTGTCTGTCTTTCTCTCGCTTTCTCTCCTTCTTTCTGCCGTTCTTTTAGGCCGGAATTTATTAAAGTACGTAATATATTTGTTTGAAAAAAACCCACTAATCCCAGATATTTGTCCGTTCGGTCATCTGTCCGTTCGTCTGTGCATATCCCCGCCAAATTTAGTGAGATATTTGACGTCACGTGAGGGGATTGTATCACGTAACGCCGCCACTTGAGATTGGTACGCCACGTCACATGACCATGCCACGTGACGTCAGGACGTCAGGGGAGGCATGGGCAGTGAGGTGCAAATTTGATCGTTTCCACGTGCATATCTGCGAGGAAAACCAATAAAATTTGAGCCTCACTCGGTGAGCATTCATGACCATCCGCTTACGAACTTAATAAGACCCACCTCGTGTGTATGACCTGACTGAGCATGCTCCAACGCTCTAGTTCGATAACAAACACGTTTGTTTGTTGCCTGTTCATGTTCAATCTTTTAGAGATTGCTGAAACGAGAGGTTGATTGTCGCTCTCCCGAACAAGACAACTTGAACGTTCCGGGCAGGTGGCAGAATTAAGCGGAAAAACGTCAAATCGCGCAGTCAGCGCTTTAAACTGCCTGTTTTTACTAATAGAAAAGTAAAAAAGAAATAACTTTTTGTTGCGCTTGAACGTCACCAAAGAGGACAACAGAACTTGTTGGCAAACAAACGCTTCGGTTGAAAAAGGTCTGTTTTTTTTTTTTTTTTTTTTTTTTTTTATAAAGTTGTTTTTTCGGCGGACGCGATTTAGTGTTTGTAGCGCTGCTGGGGACTTCTTATGACGCCTTTACACTTGCGGATTCGCGGGCGGATCCGCGCAGGTGGAAAGTGAATTTTCGAAAGCCGGAATACGAAATCGACTCGTCGCTGGCAGAAAATCAGGATACGGGTCCCGGACCGATTCAGATACTCCGCCAGCGACAAGTCGACCCGGCTCCCAAAATCCACTTTCCGCCTGCGTGGATCCGACCACGAATTCGCAAGTGCAAACGCGCCATTAGACCACGAACATACCACAGATGTTCACGTACCACGTACACACTAACACACGCACACACACACACGCGCACACACATATAATAATATTAATGATAATAATGATAGTTTCATTGGCTACAGAGTGATCATAAAGTTCTAAATACCCGTCACGTCTGCGTTTCTTCCACTCTAAGTAACTATATATAACAACTCACTGTTTACAAACAAGTCAGTGTTTGCCCATACCGGGCAATACGCGTGCACAGAACCAAGCATCTGCGCATGCGCAATGCCGACAGCAGCGCCACCGCAGTGCCGTGACGTCAGAGAGTGGGTTGGTCGATAGCTGACGCGTTTTTTTTTTTTCTGCCCTCGTTCTTAATCAGAGCGCGAATCTACAAAAGTAGCAATTTGGGAAGTCACAAACATCCGACTCTTTCTTCTCTCTCTCTCTCTCTATTTCGCCCTCCCCCAATGTTCTTAACCCTTATCTTTCACTCGCTAACGAGTTCCTCCTTCATTATCTCGAGAACATAGCGGAATCGTCACCAACTCCGTTACTATTCCAGTTTTTCTCGAGGTCACCTCACCTTGGGACCAAAACCAAGCATCCTAGCTTCTTCGCAACTATTCGCTCGTGATATCTCACCGTCAGCGAGGGAGCGCACCGGAACCAAAGTAAAACAGCAAACATATATGTTTTTCTTTCTCGCTCCCACACATCCACATGCTCACTTTCTTCTTTTCTTTAGTGATTTAGATTTTTTTTGTGTGTCGTGAGATGGTCAGGCGAACGTCGTACTGGCCCACGTCTAAGCGTTAGGGTACGTCTATTTCTGCGCAAGCTCCTGCGTGCGTGCGTGTGTCTCTGAATGTGCACAGAGGTGTATGTGAGTCTTTCTGTGCATGTGTGTGCGCGCAGATTCCGGCGTCCGTGTTTGCGCACTTATCTAACTTTCCCCGGCATGCGGCGTGAGTATACGCCAAGGTACGTCAGTCTTCTGTACACGTTTTATTTATTTTCCGCAACGTACGCACTTTCCCGGGAGTTCGGCGCTGCTCTTTATTGCGGAGGTATTTTCGTTCTACCAGCTTAAGTTTTTTTTCTTTTTTGTTTGTTTGTTGGTTTTTATCTGGTGTCGGGAAAAAAAGTAAACCTCACGCGAACGTATACATATTATTCTATGTCAATTTTTGTATCCATTTTGTAGTCTTGTCTCGCTTGTTTTCCTATCTAGACCCAGCTCCGTCTAAACGTCTGTTTGTTGAGAAGACACGTTTATGTGTAACTTCTTTTTTTTTCCTTACAGTTACAATATTGCGACAATTCCCTGTGTGTGGTATAAAGCGTCCGCTTACTTTATTTGCAAGAATGCGGTTGTCACGAACGCCTGTGCCCAGAAAGGGAAGAGCACAATGGCGACCCAGAAGACGTTGTGTGCAAGGTCGCCCCTCAGCGCCGAAGTCGGTCAGACATTCCGACCTACGCAGTCAGTTCTTCGGAGATGCCAACTAAGATATTAAAAAAAAAAAAAAAAAAAAAAAAAAAACGCAGTTGCCTTTTATCTTGCTTGAGGAGCGGAGGCAGTGTTTGACGTACTGACTCCCTTCGTTTTTGTTTTCTTTATTTTTCCGTAAGGTATAATTATCTTTGTTGTGTCAATTTGTATCCTAACTACGACTATGAGCTCGCACGAAGCAAGTGCTTTTTCTAAATGTATATTGAGCTGTAGGAGCGTATGTTTGTTAGCGTGGGTGGTGCGGAAGTTCATTCATTAACGGGCCCGAAAAAAACAATAATAAAGAGAGACAAAGCCGAGTTCGGTTATGATTACCCTCATTAGCGTCTGCAGAGCGAAAGCTCATTACAATTGTTTTTTCTGTTTTTTCTAGATGCGACGAAAGCGTAATTTTCTTGATTGTTTCTCCAGGGATGTTGCGCCTCATAATCAACCATTCGCGAAGGTTCTGATAAGCTGCTTCCAAAATAGAAACGCCGTTATGATCGTTCTTTTTATGACTTCATGACGTCGTAGTTACATTGCTCATACCTACTAGTGGTGACGGCTCCGCATTCTGCTCGTGTTTTTGTTCTAAAAAACGTGCACAATGCTCAACCGAACCCCTACACAATCCGTAATATTTTCTTTGTATTACGTTGAACCGAATATTGAAATATATAATACTAAAGAATAAAATTGCCGATATATTTTTGCGCTAATATATGAGAATCCGGATTATACAAGTATGGCTTCTAAAGCTGGTACACGACGACTGCATTTGAAGGTTTTCATTTCGTTGACGCTGTTTGTGGAATGTCCAAAGCTTTTGCACCATACCTTGATGCCCTGCATTATGATTTATCGCCTATAGGCTATGACAACACTGTAGATTTAAAGCAACGCACGACTATGACTTCACGCACCTGCGGCGCATGCGCGCACGCCTTACTCCCCGCAAATCTGTTTTTAGCGCTCGCGCGGGCCCGCATATCTGGTGTGGGGTGAACAGACGTGGGCTCGCTTGTAAACAGCGTATTGGCGTATAGTCCTTAGCTACACGAGAAAAAAAGTTTAACGCCAAAAAAAGTTATTAATTCAACTGGTGTCGCTGCAGTAATGCTTTTAAAGGGATGGTGAACCGAAATTTGGATTTCAAAAAAACAATGCAGGAGATGTAGGTGGGACGCTACAATCCCTGCAACACTACTAGTAAAGCGATATCTGGAATGGACGGCCGTATTTTTGGAAAAAGAGGTCGAGATTGAACCAGGCCGACGAGGCGCGTGACCATCAAGATACCTAGTTGCCTTCCTCTGTTCGCTTCACTCCCTCAAGACAGCGAGGCGGAGAAGACGCCAGGTCGTTCCCTCTCCTTCTCGGAGAAACATGACGTCAACATTTCTCCCAAATGCGCCTCCTTTTTTGAAAAATACGGTCATCCGTTCGAGATATCACTGTATGAGTGATGTTTTTGCGTTTGTAGCATCCTGTTGCACGCTTTTGCCGCGTGTTTCGGAGAATCCAAATTTCGGTTCAGCGTCTCTTTAAAAAGATTCTAAAGGGTTTCGTTGCACAACCCTCTATGAACCCTCAGGAACGTGACACCGCGTGGGGTAGAGCTGGACTCCTGCTCTAGGGTAAGATAGCTTAAACTCGTATTCCACTCTTGTCCTCTATGAGGTTGGCTGGAACTCTCCGCTGTGTATTTGTGATTTCGATACTGCTTAAACGGGAATTCTTTGTGAACTTGAGGCTGCTTCAAGCAATCGCCACTGGTTACGACCGGAGAGGCTTAAAAACGGTTGTAAGATCCTTCTTGTGACTGCTTGCGACCGGCTGCTTTGCTGCGCACATGATCGTAAAAGGCTTACAAACGGTTGTTAAGCCTCTCCGGTTGCAAGCAGTCACAAGTCTGAACCACCCTTCGGAGTTACCGCAGACATCTTGCTAAGAGACCTTGCCTCTTTAGCGGTTTCCGTTTCATTGTAGATTACGCGGTTCTGTCGACCGCTTAGATGTATCGGAAACAATGTGTTTCGCATTTCCCTTTTTGTATAGCTGCGCCTGTCGGTGTGTCATCGTTTTTTTTTTTTTTGATAATATGTTTCTCTAAAAAAACAAATTTTTGCAACCACAACAAAACATATGGTGTATAGGTGGTCGAGTGTGCTAAGGCAGCACAGCTTGGAGCACGCGGAACGAAAGCTCGCGCTGCAGGACTCGGGTATACCATGGGTTAACCCCCAACACCGCTCCGGTCCGATCTGAATGAGTACTTTGCCGGCTTGCTGTCGTGTATAACTACTGCGTGATGCACGTTAAAGACCCCCCAGGCTAGCAGGGTTACTACACTTGCTAAATTTCTTATCTGCAATGGAAACAGCGGACGCCCTTTGGGCCTGACTAACTTCCCCTTGTCTAAACATACAAACAACACAATTACTCCAGCCTTTCTGTCTATAAGGTGTTGATGCACCTTTATTTTTTTTTAAACAATAGCTTTTTGGAGTTTCAAGAACACACTGATCATAACTACTGATTCCACAACCCTGACCTATTCTTGTCTTCTTTTCTTGTAATCGGCAGCGGATTGCAGCTTCCTGTTGGCGAACGCCCAGATCGTGGACTACCCGATCGTGTACTGCTCCGAGTCGTTCTGCAAGATCTCCGGCTACAACCGGGCCGAAGTGATGCAGAAGAGCTGCCGCTGCAGCTTCATGTACGGAGAGCTCACCGACAGGCCCACCATCGCCAAACTCGAGCACTGCCTCGACTGCCACACGCAGGATCAGCTCGAGGTGCTGCTCTACAAGAAGAACCGTGAGTGGCCCCGCCCATAGCGAACAACGACGCCTCCTGCACTTGAAGCTGAAGAAACCCAATGCGTGGAAAGCCCCGAGCATTAGAGTATATCTCTGCAGCACAGGCTTGTATATGGTACTAATTACAAGTAGTCAAATTACTTGTAATCGATCACATTATAAAAAAATTAATTTCGTAATAATTTTGAGTACCCTCATTAGGAAGTGATTGCGAGCGTATTCCGATTACTTTTGGAAGTACAAAATTACTTGTAACAGTTGCTATTTTTCCCCCTCTACTTTATAATGGCGTCCTTAGCTTTTACACTTTTCTTACCGAAGAATGCTCGTCCCAAGTACTCGACAAGAAAATGGCGCACCAGAAAACGGGTGTATTGACGAGAAAAGTTAGGAGAAGTTTATCATTCGGAAATTATAGTCCAATTTATTGGAAAGAGAGAAACCCCCACCTGCAGAAAAAAGAAGTCATGTTGTTTTAAAAATCTCAAGTAACGGAAAAAAAAAAACGTTTGCTTAAAAAAACAAAAAAAAAAACGAGTAATTGTAATTGCAATTGCTTTTGTTTTTCAAGAAACGTGTATAATGTTAATGCAGCCAATTTTTCGCATAGGCCGATAAGGCTGCCAAAAGAAACTATCAAGAAGCAAGAGGTAATATCGTAATAAGCCAAGTCCTGCTTTGTTTAGTAAAATGTCAGAAACTATTGGCGAAAAGGCCGAATGTTTAGAATTTCAACGCCACCTAATATAGGCCAGAGCGGAACGCAGATCGGCGCGCTGCGTCAGCCTGTTCTCGCTCGCGTTCTCACTGACCGAACACGAGTCTTTATCCAACACCGACGCAGCACTCGTGTCCCTGGTAGTTGACTTAACAATATAGAGCTACGACTTTGTTGTTTCGTTTCATTTGATGTGCCCTTAAAACACCATTATAGCGTTTTTCATGAGGTGTTTCCACAGAAGGTGTTGATATGTCCTTCGGCTCGGGGTTTAGAAAGATGGAAGGCGATGGGGTATGGGGTTTGTGTCACTTACAATTTTCCTAAACTATTTCTCTAATGCCACACTCCCTCAGTTCTAAAATATTGCGTGACGAAGAATATCTCCGTGAAATATCCACCTCGCGCGAGGCACCAAGTCCTTTCCGCAGGAGCGTTTATGACTCTTGTTCACTTTTTTAGGAGCCGATTTTTGGTTGAAAGTTGCTTGTGCGTTAAAAATGGCGAAAGTATCAGTGCAAAGAGAGTCGTGAGTTTTATTTATTTTCATCGCAAAAATAAACTGTGCATTACCGAGCGATCAGTCTCCGTCCCAAAATGTAGTGCTAGCGACTGGTATAAGATGACAAAAAAGTCGCATCATGCCGATATTTTATTTAGAGTTTGAAGCGGATTTTAAAACGTTCTATAAGACCATTCCAGCAAAGAGTGCCTGCAAAAACAATGAGCTGATTAACGTCTCCTGCCATTTTCCCGTTTTTTTTCGCTGACATTTAAAACATTTGCTTTCGAGTTTTTTATGTTTAATAACGTGAAGTTTTAAAATTTTAAATGTGGTCCCAGCCATTCACGCTGCATTGTGTCGGATTCTGGGCTTTCTAAATACTACTTTCTTTTTACTGTGCAAAACACTTTTTTTTCCTTCAAACGCCATGTTTTTCCTTTTCTTTTCTTTTGCAAATTACGACGTTGTGTGTTAGAAGCGAATGGAGTGCTTTCGTACACACGCCCTTTTGAATAGCCATGATGACATCAAAGCAATTTTACAGCCCTACAATTTTTTTTTGTCTGGATGGATGATTGCATACAGCTGAGCCCATTTAGTTGGGTGGAGGCTTGCTTCTCCTAGCCAATATATTTATCGAAGCAAACGCGCTCTGGCATGTCCCGGCGTGAGCATCTATTTTCGGCTAATGCTTCAGTGTGGTTCCACCATTTTCCCACCCAGAGTAAGCACTCATATTTTTTCGCACACACTAACATATCTAACTTTGACAAACGGTGTCTCCACCCTGATCACAAAGATTCAGGCACCCTGACCATCAAATTGTTGTAAAATAAAAGTATCGGCGGAAGGACCGTGATACCCGGTAGCCCAGGTTTTTGAGGAAACATTTTTGTATGGGAGTTTAGGGCCTTAAAAACCACCAAAACAAGCCAAGGAAGTGCCTAACTTCGAGTTTTTTGGCTAGAACATGGTTACCTTCGCACTAATTTGCCAGACAAGCTTCAAAGTTAGGCTTGACTTTGGTTAGTTTGGCTATCATATCTGGCATCTTTGGGTATAAAATTCCAAACAAGTGCCAGGCTTCACTGCAGGTAGTCTGGCTATCATCTCACATCTTTGGCTGCAGTATGGCACTTTGGCAGTTATGTGCCGCATCAAAGAAAAGCCGTTGAAACGGTCAAGAAAAGTACTCCCGTACTAAATAACGCCTTCAAACAAAACTATATTTTGACCAAGTTAGGGCCTTAGGTCGTGGAAAAGTTATTTTAAATTCCTCACGAAAAAATAGGTAATTAAAATTGTGGCTACAAATAGTGTGTGGGTGAGTGTGTAATAGGTATGCTCAGGTTTGTGTGTGCCTATGCTTTGGTACGTTACACCTGTTTTGGTATGTGCTTACAGCTGCAGTGTGTGTGTGTGGGGGGGGGGGGGGGGGAAGGGGGGTTGGGGGTGATTGGAGAGAGAGAGAGGTATTACTTTTCCATACCGAATTCAGGAAGTGCAGCTGGGGAACGGCGATAGGCGAAATGTTCGAGAAAACGACTCCCTTATGGAACGACCTTTTTTTTAATATTTCACTCCATGAGCTCACTAAACTCGGAACCCAGCAAACATCTGGAAAAACCCAAATGAAATAAATGATTAGCTTCAATGGTTCGTCACGTACATTGTAGCTATAAAAAAGCACGATAGGTTTTCCTCGCTCGCGGACATTTTATGGATATTTTAATATTTTTTAGCTGGAAGTTTGTAGGCGATGTTGTTGTTGTTTTTTGTGTTTTTTTTAATTGCACAGACACGCATAAAAAGACATGTGCAAGTTCGTGCAAGGGTGCGTAGAGGCTACCGCGCTCATTCATCCCCGTCCCACCCGCGTCATATACGCACACACAGCCGTGCACAACCAAAGGCTCTCGAAACACGCAGGCAGGCATCGTCAAGTGCATACATCCAGACGTGAAAACACTCGGATTCCTGAGAGACCAGCTCACAAGGTCACGTGCGCCGACAAAGCCTATAATGTACAAATATAAAGAGGAATACACCCATTCACGATGCATGCACGCTTGCACGGACACGAATGCCGATTCTTGTGACCTAAAGTTGACTTCCCCGCAAATACACTCTCTATGTGGTAAAGCACGCTTGCAAGGACGCGTGTAGTCCTCTCGGGAAAACGACATTAAAAAACAAAAACACAAAAAACGTTAATGTTATGTTTGTGTTCCCTCTTACAAAAAAAAAAAAAGGCGAATTTTTTTTGAAGTTTATTTTCTGACAGGATGAAAACGTCAAGGAGGTATTTTATGCTTGGTAGAAGAGCGTGTTGGTTTAAGTCATGGATGAAGAAAGAATAAACAATTAAAACAGGGACAACACAACCACATCTTTCAACTAGCAACAGACGAGTAAACTTTCAACAGCGAGCAGCCGACTATACCCAGTAGGCGTAGGGGAGAGAAGGGGAGAGAAGGAAAGATAAAACACGCGAAGTGCAAGTCAGGGTGGTAGGTTTATCTCGGATTTTAAAAATTCAACCTCAGTTTTCGTCAGCAGGAGGGAAGGGTTTGACACGTTGTGTTTTGCTGTGGTCATGGCGAATGATTCTATGATTTCCCTGCCGAAGCTGCTGTCATGCCCCCCCAGGATTTTTGTGTCATCAAAGAGGGGATGACAACGCAAACACGAACGGGCATGTATGACTATGGGATGATAAGAATCTGGAGAGGCCTTAGAAACTTCGTTGTGATGTTCGCGGAGTCTGTGATTGGTGCATCTGCCGGTCTGTCCTATGTATTGATGGCCACAGCTCAAGGGGATGGAGTAAACTTTCTTCTCTTTGCATGGAATGAATTTCTTTTCGTGTTTGACAGTGCAGCCAATCGGAATCCGGTTGTTGTTCACTTGTTGACAGAGTTGTTTGAGACGCATGTGGCACGAGAAGACAACATTCGTGTCGAACTTTGAGGCAATGGATTTTATCCGGTGGGCTGAATTGTGTACGTAAGGAATGACGGCGAATCGGGCTTTCTTTTTTTGTGGCTGGTGACTGGCGATCAGGCCTGCGAATCATCCTTTCCATTACAGATCGGAGAAGGTCGACGGGAAACCCTGCCCTGACAAGCCTCATGTGCAGCAATTTGAAGCTATCTTCTGAAAGATGACAGCAAGATTCGTGAAGGATGAAGAAAGCAACGATTTGATGATACCGTGTCTTACCGACTTCGAATGGGCGCTGGAAAACGGTAGGACAGGTTTGGCAGACCTTTGTTGAAAGGCCCAGCAGAGTCCAGTGGCACTGACATGAAGCCGCAAATCTAGGTACTGAAGACCTTCATTCGATGGTTCTTCCTTCGTGAATGTAAGGCCTGACGAACAAGCGGAAAAAACAGCTGTAATGCTATCTGGAGAAGTTCGAGCAGGATGAATGATTAGGTAATCGTCTACAAATCTGAAAACATGGCAGCCAGGCGCGGAGATGTCCAGTTGTGCTTTTATAGCTCTGTCAACGAATAAAAGGAATAATTCACTGAGAACAGGAGCGAGACATGAACCGATGCAAACTCCCTTTTTTTGGCGGTAGATCCCTTTCTCATGTTCGACTAAGGTGGACTGGAGGTATAGATGAATCAGGTCCACGAATCCAGCAACGGAGACACCGGAGGAATTCTGAAAATCCACAGCTCCGTGCTCAAAGATGGCGTCGGAGATTGGGGCAAGCAAGGCGGTAGGGTCTACATTGAAATACATGTCTTCTACGTCAAGTGAAAAAATAGAGTGGGGCAAGGAGAAGAAATGTTGGGAACTGCTGACAGAGATTAGTTCTATTGAGTTAGACACTCTAAAGGGTTGAGGGAGGTGGATGCAGGACAGATGCTTTTGTAGAAAGAGCCCGAGCTGCTTCTGCCAACAACCCTTCTCCGACACAATACTTCGGAGGGGAACTCCGGTCTTATAAGACCGGAGTTCTGGAAATATGTCTGACATCTGGAAATATGTCGGACATCTTTCCCCATATTTTTGTAGCCTCAATACGTAAGAGTATTCTAGTTATCAACAAAGTTCTACCGTGGCTACGATGAACCACTGCTTTCGCCCATTCCGGAATCGACGACATTCCACATAGCGGCGCTCTTGTGGAAAAGGTGCATAGTCACCGACAGCCAACGTTACTAGAAGAAGTCAGTTGGGAAACTGCTACAGGAGCCTGCTTTCAAAAAGTTGCTTCGGTTCGTCCTCAAGAACCGAACTAGACGCGATCGCAACGCCGCCATTTCTGCCGCAGCGGCCACTCCGGGAACTGCATGGCTGCACGTACCGCTGCAGTCGAGTTGCGCAAGGGCCCTTTAACCGGTGACAGCAAACGTATAAAAAGCGGCGAGCGACATGACGATGCACTTTTGATGCCGCTTGATTGACTACGTCGAATCGTGGCGCCGCGGCTGCGGTCTGAATTAATGTGAAACGAAGTGTATTCGGAGCGCAAGTTCGTCTGCTTCTTATGGAGGGGTTGTGATGACGTCCGAACGCCGAGCTCTGATGGGCTCTGATTGAAGGATAGTGGGTAGACTTCAAGGCAGCTTGCTTGGAGGTCTGCCCACTATCCTTCGAATCAGAGCCCATCAGAAGTTGGCGTCGATCTGGCGTCACTGCAACCTCCGCAAAAGAAGCAGACGAGCATGCGCTCCGCATATAGGCTTGAATTCGCGAAATCGTCACGCGGTTCGGTTCTGCGAGGCGTAATCTCGGCGCATGGCTAAAACAAAGAAAGGTGTATAAAATAAGATCGAGGCAGCCTGTAGGGCAAGGTGGGCCGCCCCTGAAGCGTTGGGGGAGTGAAGGGCAAGCCATCGATTGACGTCGTCCGTGGAAGGGGGACCCGTTTTCACGTCGATTGCCCTCGTTGCCGACGTGTGATCCGCATACCAGACGACGGCACACCGACTACTACACTGTCGCTGCTCGGACACCGGCCTCATGCGTATCGTCCCACGCGCGCCCAAACCAGGGTCATGTGCCCCCCTCCCCCTCCCCCCCTGGCTCCCCCGTGGCCTCCCCCTACGCATCCTTAAAGCAACACGATACCTCACATTCGGGTTCTCAGTATACACTACATACCAATTTATCGTTTTTTCTTAGCTTGGGAAAGGGGTGGGGGCGTTGAAAAGAACAATAGCGTCACAGTTACAAGTATCTTCGAATAGATTAGCGGGCTATGCGTTCGTTGGATTTTATCTGGAGAAAGGGGGGGGGGCTTGTGTGTGTGTGTGTGTGTTTGGGGCGGGGGATTTTTAAAAAAGAGATGTAATGTCACAAACGGAGCGAGCGTACATGGTTTCGTGACGGCATGATGTCACGTGATCACGTGACGTCGTGACGTCAGGAGGCACTCGTCTCAATGGACGTCGACTCCTTCCTCTTGCGAGGCATTGTGAAAAGTGCGGCACATTCTGTAAGTTATTAGCTCCCATTATATCGTATGACGCATGCGCGTCATACGATATAATGGACGGTACGTGTACCTCACTCTCCCGTGCATGCGCATCCGTTTCAATGGAAGGACCTAAATTTTTCGGGAAAAAGGAAGACTAAAGGGGGGGGGGGGTGGGGGGAGGTGGGGGCAGAGAAGTGTTACCGTATATAAAAGTCGGAAACATCACCCAATTTGTTTTCCTTGTTACATTTACCTGACTGATATAGCTTCACGGAGAAATGCATGTTAAAAAAAAGAGACATTGTCCAATAATGTAACATTTTATTACCACTGAAGTGTCGCACGTCACGCCGCATTCGTCCGTTCCCGCTCTCTCCCGACCCCAGGAACTCCGCTATGGCTGCTCCTCCACGTGGCGCCCATCAAAAACGAAAAGGACGTGGTGGTCCTTTTCCTGCTCACATTCCGGGACATCACGGCTCTCAAGCAGCCCCTGGAAGACGACGTATCCAAAGGTGGGTCCTCGTCGTTCCCCCATTTATACCGACGCCCGTGTCACGTTATTTTCCCGCGATCATTTGGGCTGAGCGAGTAGTAAGTTTTTATACTTGCTTGGCCCGAATGTCATTTAGAATACATGTTGCCGCTCCATCGGTGATGACACTTACAAAAAGTAAGACTGTGTTTCGGCGATGAGCCGCAGTAGACGCTACGAGCCATCCCAGCCAATCCATCGCTGTGACGTGTCACGTGATCATATGCCCTGCGCTCGGCTGCATCCCTCTCTCGAAGTACACGTGAAGCTCGCACGCCATTAAATTGGCCTCAATGGCTCGTACTGTCCGCTGCGGTCATCGTTACATCAAATGGAGTATGCATGGTCTTCCTTTTGAAAATAAAATGAAATATTCTTACATAGTTTGTGTAATAAACTTATCCGAAAGTATATAAGTCATATAGGGTGGATAAAACATATATTGTCACGAATGAACAGGTGAAACAAAGAATAGCAGGGGAAACTGAAACGTTTAATGGGGCGAACTTGTGCCCAAAAATAAAAGGGGAACAGAAGAAAGCCGAGCACCGCGGGTGTCGAAGTCGGCGTGACAGCAGAGCCGAACGCTGGGGTGAAAACTGACCGCAGATCGCCACGCGGAGCCCCTTATGTACGCGCGGTCGCTTCTGGAACAATCGGCCTAGAACGTTGGGCGACTAGAACATTCGAAACTCGATCAGACGATAATGTTCTCGAACTCACAAGAACGCAATGTTGAAAGAATATATAAAAGAACATCCTACTGACTGGAATCGAACCTAGACTTTCCGCGCGACAGTCAAGCGCGGTAACCACACGGTCACGCACGCGGTCGCTCACCGACGAGCGTGGCAATACACATATATATATATATATATATATATATATATATATATATATATGTTTTTTTATTTTATGTCTTCATGCGTTTATTGGACACACTCATACACTTTTTTTCCCACTGAGGTAGTATAAGTGACAGTAAATCAGCCCCCTCACACCCATTTTTTATAAGACCTTTTCCCCTTGATTGCACATTCTTTGCATGCGCCTCATACTTCAAGCCTTCTATTCCCTGTATCTAAGGCACGCCCCTAACGATTTCATGACAGTTTTTTTGGTTTGTTTGCCCAGTGAGAGATATACTTCGTCGTCTTTCAGATTCCCACGTGATCGTAGAGCTCCTGAGATGTTTTATGTAAATGTAGCGTTTTAAATCTGAGTACTTTTGGTTAGAAGTAGTACCGGAAAGGCTCGATGATAATAAGGGAGCCATTGCATTTGTGGCCATACTTGTCCGTGTGTGAATGAGTGAACAATCGAGCGTAATAAACGTGCAGTGACCAACACCCGCACGGCTAAACTATTATTTTCAAAGTCTTTTAAGATAGAGGTTTGTGCGGGTCTCTTTCCCCCGTCTAACGCCGTGGCGCCTCCTTTTCTGCTTGCTCCCGAATCACAGCGGGGTTGAGCAAGTTCGCGAGGTTGGCGCGCTCAGTGACCAGGAGCCGGTCGGTGCTGGTGCAGTTCTCGTCCCACCTGCCGGCCATCAAGGCGGACACGTCCCGCCAGTCCCAGATCGCTCACATGATGAGCCTGAACGCCGAGGTGCTACCGCAGTATAGGCAGGAGGCGCCCAAGACACCGCCGCACATCCTGCTCCACTACTGCGCCTTCAAGGCCATCTGGGACTGGATCATCCTGTGCCTGACCTTCTACACGGCCATCATGGTGCCCTACAACGTGGCCTTCAAGAACAAGACGAGCGAGGACGTCAGTCTTCTAGTCTTGGACTCCATCGTGGACGTCATTTTCTTCATCGACATCGTGCTCAACTTCCACACCACATTCGTCGGCCCAGGAGGAGAGGTCATATGCTTGTCTCGCTCTTGTCTCTATTCAAAGCCCCTATATGTTATGGGATCCTCTCAGCCCTTCAGGCCGGTCAGCCGTTCAGACCTCTTCAACCCTTCTACCCCTCAGCCTTTCAGGCCGGTCAGTCCCTCAGCCAACCAGCCATTCAGACCCTTCAGTCTGTTACAACGAACCGTTCGTATAATGAGCAGGTTAGAGCCACTGACTAAGGTATGCGTAGAATATAACTTCATTATTTTGGTGTTTTTTTGTAGGCGCTGCCACCTTAGCAATTGGAGTCCGTTCGCACACTTTGGATAGCCTACGATCGACTGAGACCGGTTTTAAATTCGTCACACGATGCTTAAAAACCAGTTTCAGCCGGCCGTAGCCAAACAGAAGTGTGTGAACGTGCAGAGGGGGTCCAACAGGTGATCGGTATGATACAAATATGCGATCTTCTAAGTTTTAGATACGGTTTCAGGAAACTCAGAAGATAGCATTTTGCTATGTCGCCGACTTTTTTTTCAGATTTTATTGATGACGAAAGCCCGTTTACTGCAATCTCGGGTAATGTTTCAGATGACTGGAAAGCATTGGTTTTAAAGGGTCATGTAAACGATTTTTCCGCTTTCGCAAAATACTACACAGAATCACTCTCTAAAGTAATAAATAACCAAAAAAAACTCGCCTTAGTTTTCCTTTCTAAGCAGTGACAGTCGGCAAGTAAATTAAAGAAATATGAGCATCGTTTTTATTTAGCGAAAGCGTTTTTAGCGTGCTTATTTAACGAACAAGCGGCCACGTGGCCTGGTGCCTATTCTATGCCGCCAACGTTAATCATAGGTTGCGTTTACATGGATGCGACTGTAGCGTATGAAATCGAGATTTCACTGTTTCAATTCATAGTATATGAGTAGAAGAGGAAGATATAGAGAGACGAGGTGCGTGTGATTGGTCCTTGCTCGATTCGATGCGCTACGATTGCATTCATGAAGCCCAGCCATATCCACGCGCTGGTATCGGCAAAGTAGAAAACGCGTGCTGAGCTCCAGGCATGGTTAGAGTTCGGCTATTCTCATCACCGCAGTGGTTGGACACGAGCCACTACCCGAGTGTCCGTCAAAGATTTGATTGTTAGGAGCCGAAGTCGCGTGTCCAAGCAGTTTTCGTGTCCAATTCATGAGTTGCGGTCGACTGCCGTCAGGCGGGTGGCTTCGATCCCAGAATTACGCCATCAAGTTTTGTTAAGGCGACTGAGAGAAATAGACCCCTTTCATCCTCGGAATTTTACCGCTACCAAGAAGCTTCTAAATCAATGGCGGTCCGTGCGAGTGTACTTGGTCCAGACTAGGACCAGTACGCCTCTGTAAAGTCAGGAACGTTCCAAACCGAGATCGTTTCTTGGAGATGGTTTCTGATGAGTGGTTTCTTTGATGGCTCCCTTTTCCGTCGCGCAGGTGGTCTCAGACCCCAAGATCATCCGAATGAACTACCTGAAGTCCTGGTTCACCATCGACCTCCTCTCCTGCCTACCATACGACGTGTTCAACGCCTTCGACAACGGCGAAGACCAGCAAGGCATCGGCAGCCTGTTCAGTGCCCTCAAAGTGGTGCGCCTGCTGCGACTGGGACGCGTGGTCCGCAAGCTGGACCGCTACCTGGAGTACGGCGCCGCCATGCTCATCCTTCTGCTCTGCTTCTACATGCTGGTTGCCCACTGGCTGGCCTGCATTTGGTACAGCATCGGCCGCAGCGACGCCGAGAATGGGGTACAGTTCAGCTGGCTCTGGAAGCTGGCCAACGTCACGCAAAATCAGTTCAAGGTCCGCTACGTTAACGACTCCCATCTGGGCATCAAGGCGGAACTGGTCAACGGGCCGCCAAGGGGTACCATGTACGTCACGTCGCTCTACTACACCATGACCTGCATGACCAGCGTCGGTTTCGGCAACGTCGCTGCCGAGACGGACAACGAGAAAGTCTTCACCATTTGTATGATGATCATCGGAGGTGAGCAGGGTGTTTTGGTTGGCCTTCACGTTATAACTCTCGTGCAAGGTGATGGCGTGCTCTGCGTCATCAAAAATCACACACGTGCAAGTTTATAAGGGCTTTCTTAAAATGTTACGTTTCAAGGCCTCATATAAGGAACACATTCCGCGTCATATAGTACATATATTATACAATAAAGCATAAAAGACAATACCATCTATCTTGACAGCGACCTTTCCCTTCCAAGTTCTTTAATGCACCAATCGCAGTATTTCAAGAGCTGACATTTAAAGTTGTTTAGAGGACAATAAACAGTCGTTTTCGGGGAGTGAAGAACCTATATTTTTATCAGTTCAGCGAAGAAACTGACATAGCGTAATGGTCACGGGACATAAATTTCCTAGCCAAATTTAATAAGAAAAATGAATTGGTGCATAGCTCACGTGACGTCAGGTCAAGTGAGCTATGCACCAATTTTGATGTTACGTGACGTCAGGTCACGTGGCAACAAAATTTCCGCTAAATTTCGTGGGGAAATTTAGCTGGTCTATAGGTCTCGTGAAACAGACCACGTGACATCACTTTTATCTTGCCAAGTTCAGCGGAGAAACTGAATTCGTGCATAGGTCACGTGGTCTGGTCATGCGACGTCAATTATCGCGCTAGGTTTAGCGGGGAAACACAATTTGTTAATAGGCCTCGTGACGTCGGGTCATGTGACATTAATTTTCCCGCCAAATTTAGCGGAGAAACTAAATTGGCGAGTATTTCACGTGATCAGGTCACGTGACGTCAATTTTCCCACTAAATTTAGCGGAGAAATATAATTGCTGTATGGGCCTCTTGACGTTAGGTCACGTGATATAAATTTTCCAGCTAAATTGAGCGAAAAAACTGAGTTGGTGTTTAAGTCACGTGACGTCCATTTCCCCGCCAATTTAGTGGGAAATGCACGGACGCATGGACAAAATTTTGGGATAGGGAGTTCCTTTTAAAAGCATGTTATGCTTTAAAATTGAGTTAGAAGATGATTGAAAGGCAGCGAAAGGTTAACCTGAGCGCATATGGCTCTAGTAGACTCCTCTACACTGGAGGAAAGTGGCAAGGGGGAAAGATTGGTAAGATTGAATAAAATGAGGAATATAAAACAGACGATGATGATGGGCCTAGAATAATTTTATCTCACACCGTAAAGAGATCGTGCCCCCCCTGTGCCCTACAAAAAATATGCCTAATCAGTGCGTTGGTTGCCTTGACGGAGCACTGAATGAGCCCCAGCCGACGAGCACTTTCGCGACAGTAAATGGCCTATCATCCAGTCTTGAGAATGCCACCCTTAAAGGGCAACTCTGGCCTATACTTTCGATTTTGGGATTCTGACTTTTTTTAACGCAGTCAGCGTCCCTGAATTACAAGGTGTAATTTTTTTTTTTCGTGCTAATGTGCGTAGTTTTAAAGATATCGACGCCTCAAAGTTTTGTTTGGGACGCTGCCGACAAAACCGAAACTAGCCGCTCGAGGCCCCGGCAACACTGGAAGTCAGCCCCTATGTGGACGTGACGTCAGGATCGTTCTCGTTCAACGAGTACTCGGCCCAAGCGGCACCTGCCTCTTTTGCGTTAGCCGTCTAAAGAATGAAGCTCAGCTTATTTTGTTTTAATTCTGTATACATGGTAGTTATCCAGCATATGTAGCAAGGGTTAGTGCGTATACCTAAAGGCTAGCGACTGGAAACCCCGTGAACTCGTTTGGTGCCGTATTCGGCGGCCGCCGCCGTACGTGCGCTCTGCCGTACTCGTCGCTTGTATACCCAAAAGCTAGCGACTGGAAACAAGTGAACTTGTTCGGTGCCGTACTCGGAGGCTGTCGCCGTACGTGCGGTCTTCCGTACTCGTCGATAGGCCTAAATTCTCATCAGGGCTCCGTGGATGGAGCGGAGTTGCTCTACGACGCGCTGCCAGTAACGTACAGTACTGGGGGCCCTCTCGCTTTCGCGCTGCGGGTCAGTCCCGGACACGAAGCTTTGAGACTCTCCGGCGCGGGCCGCGGCGCCCGCGCCGGCCCGCGCCGGAGAGTCTCAAAGCTGGGCTGTACACGTCTGTTTTTTCGTTCTTTTTTCCTCAGGCGCGTAAAAGCAGAATTTGTGAGCTACGACACTAATTTACCACATAAGTTCGTCTAGGTGGTAAATCTAATTTGTAAAAATATCTAGAAAAAAACAACAAAACTTGCCGCACTCAAAAAAAAAAAAAGAAAAAGAAAAAAAAAAAACAGAAAGAAAGTTTTATAGGCAGACATTTTCTTCTCAAAGCTAGCCAAAGGTTTTTGTGGGTGATAGAGGAAAACAGAGAACGTTAGCAAGGTATGAAGAACACTTTATTTCCCTTATTTCTCTCAAAGAAGCGCACTTTACTCTGCTTGACCTCGCAACGGGTGGGCACCTCCGGACTGGTGGAAAAAAAGAGAACGATCCTAACGTCACGGCCCAACGTTGCTTTAGCGATCGGCAATCCGCTGGCCGCCCGCTAAGGAGCAGCGGCTCGCGGCGGGTTGCATTTTTATTATCGGCATTAGATGAGAATGCGGCGTCCCCCTGACCTAATATTTAGGCTGGGGTCGTATTTTGTGTTACTACAGCGATACCAGTAATTTATTTCATTTTGAGTTTTGGCCGAAGTTGCCCTTTAAGTATAGGGTGGTGCCAGTCACCTGCCTCGATCTAAAATGGACCGTAAAAATCGACGCCTGCACGTAACAATCTAAACTTTTCGTCAAAGGTATATTTCACAGGTCGGTTTTTTCTTGTAAAATTACAAAGCGTAGCTCTCTTTCTGTAAAAAAATAAGGCCAAGAAACTTGCCAGGGCTAGGGCGCCCGGCAACGCAGACGACAGGGGTCCAGTAGCGGGGTGTGTCTGGCGTTCGTATTGATAAATGGCGCTACCTCCTTTTCGCGACGGCTCGCGACCACCGTGGTTTATTAAAATGAATATAATCTTTTTGAAATGTACCTTCGGTTAAAAAATAAAGGCAAACAATAAAAGCAAAGCTTAAAATAAAAAAAAACGCGTCTGCATAATGGCGGCGCTTTTGCTGGTAACGGATTTCGTCTGCGTGTCGTCTGCTTTTTTTCGATGGTCGGCTGCACCTTCAGACGCTGCTCCCGACGCCATCTATCAATACGAACGCCAAACACACCCCGCCATTGGACTTTGTCGTCTCGGTCGCCGCCCGCCGTAGACCCTGGCAAGTGTTTTGGCCCTATTTTTTACAGAAAGAAAACTACGCTTTGTAATTTTACAAGAAAAAACCGACCTGTGAAATACACCTTTGACGAAAAGTTTGGATGGCTTCGTGCAGGTGTCGTTTTTTACGGTCTATCTTAGATCGAGCCTGGTGACTTGAACCACCCTATACTCGTCTCTCAGCGGTGTGAGAACATTAAAGAGGTTCTCTTAAAGGGACCATGAAGGCAGTTTCGAAGTTTTATTCGACGATTGAAATGGATCTCAGGCACGTCTCAGATACTGTTGTCCAAGTTCTAGCCCGAACAGAAGTTTGGATGCAGCACCAATTGAGCAAACAGGCGCGGTAATAATAGCGCCGGGAACGATGCCTGAGACCCCACCGAGGCGGCGGCAGAAAGGTGAACTAAAGTGCGCCGTCGAAGCGTGACGACAACGGGCTCCTCGTCTGGCGATTGGTTCAAACGATAAACGCGCTCTTGGTTTCGATTTCGGTGGTGAGATGTGATGAAAAAAGTTTATTTGAACGTTGTATAATATTTTGAAGTTGTAGTTGGAAATTAATAGGTTTCATACCGTGTATAAAAGCATAATCTGAAGCGATCCCTCCGTTTGTCACTGGTTGAACGCATCCCGCACTGCTACCTCGGGCGCGTAACAAGCATCGAGCAACCATGGACAAAAAAAGAAAAAAGAGGTACGAGCGCCGGGGGCGGCGGACTCTTGGTTTTGGTTTCGTGCGTCGTCTCGTGTTCGCTTTGCGAACTGGTGTCTCACCAATCATGCCGCGTTTATGTGCAGTAGTAGGTTGCGCGAAAGGTCGGCTAAAGACGTGCGGTCCATCGGGCGACGTTAGTTAGCATAAACTGCTGACCGATGCAGCAATGCTGCATCGGTCGCCGATCCAGAGTTCTGCGTCCTTAGCAGCATCTCCCGTTCAGTCGGCGTGAGGTCGCTGAACGCGAGCTCAAACTCGTTTGCGAGCGCGGTGTTGTCGTCCATTCCTTCCAGGTTTTCTTCACAGACCGCCGTGCACTAGAGCGAACCACGGGAACCACACTGAGTGTGCACTAAATCCTACCGATGCCGACAGTGCTCCCTGACGTCACTTCTCTTTCCAGAGGCGAAAAAGGGAAGAAATCTGAGTGTTGTTTCGGTTTCGCAAATTTATTTGCAGATACAGAAATAAGAGTCACAACGTTCTAGAAAAAATTGTGTGGCATGCCAGAACCCCAATGCTACCGAGAACACCTTCTTTTAAAAAAAAAAATTTAAATTGCCTTCGTGGTCCCTTTAAGTGAGCAGGTTGAGGAAGCCATTTTCAGACAAAGAACACGTCATTAAAACAAAAATAGTCCGAATGGTCGTTCATCTATAACAGTTGTGAGAGTTATTATTGCTAAGTGACAAATATGAATTTCGTCGCATTAACCTGGAGGTGATGTAATAGTGACATAACCCATGATCGCTTTCTGCCCAGCTTTACTGTACGCCACCATCTTCGGCCATGTAACGACCATCATCCAGCAGATGACGTCAGCAACGGCGCGCTACCACGAGATGCTAAACAACGTCCGGGAATTTATGAAACTGCACGAAGTGCCCAAGGCACTCAGTGAGAGGGTCATGGACTACGTCGTGTCTACTTGGGCAATGAGCAGGGGGATTGACACGAAAAAGGTGAGTACCTGTACCGGTGTGCCTCAAACGCGTCTCCGACTGGTGTGTTTAGCGAATCCTTAAAAGTGCGTCCCTCGATTTCCGCCTGATGACGTCATTAAAGGGCCATGCTGCTGCCTGCCGCGATTCTGGTGGTATAACAGCAGTGGAGGTGGCTGTGGCAGACGCCTGTTCTGCAGCAGATCGCTCTGCATTCTAACAGTCGACGTCAACCACAACAGACATAAGATGGTGCGCCGCGACGATAGCGATCCTTGCGTCCGTTTACCTCTTTCGCCAACATTTCTACAACTCGCCTCTAGGATCGCGACATTGAACAGCACGCCATGCCGGCTTACGTGATCCATTTGTTTGCCACTTTGGGACCACGTTCAGTGTATGGGCGAAATAGGACGGAAAGCACACCAGTTCAAGACGCGTTTTAGCCACCGCATTAGACGAGCCAACAGCAAGGACTTCACCGCGTTCCTTCTGCCACTATCCCAGGTACTGAGCTACTGTCCCAAGGACATGACGGCGGACATCTGCGTGCATCTGAACCGTAAGGTGTTCAACGAGCATCCGGCCTTCCGGCTGGCGAGCGACGGCTGCCTCCGGGCCTTGGCCATGTACTTCAGCATGGACCATTCGGCCCCCGGGGACCTGCTGTACCACACGGGGGAGAGCATCGACACGCTCTCCTTTGTCGTCGCCGGATCCCTCGAGGTACCTAACATAAACACATTTCTATCTTCCTCGCACTTCTACGGTCACCGCCGTCATTAGTGAGGTTTCACTGCGGAACCCGGCGTGTGTTTCGTGTAAGACGTGTCATGACATCAGAGTGTCACCTGACGTCATGAAAAAAAAAAATGTTTCGCTAAGTTTAGCGGAGAGATCAGAGTTAGTTGCTGAACAATTGTTCGTTAAACTTAGCGGAGGAATTTTTCCTAATGTAACTTAATGTCACGTGGCCACCGTGACATCATATGACACGGACGTCACGTGAAAGTGTAACGTAACGCGAGTACCATGACGTCACGTGACACTCTGATATCACGTGACATTATGACGTGACATCAAGATATGCGGAGCTACTGTTAAGACTCTGTACAACCGTGATAAAAAATCTTATCGAAACAACGTTGAAGACAATGTTTCTAAGCGTCCCCAGGATTTTTGGCGTTTAGTTAAAAAGCGCACGTCCAATAGGCAGGTACTGACGTCACTGAAGATGGATGGAAAATATTCCACAGACCCCAAAACTGTGAAGTCACTTCGCCGATTTTTTTTTTTGTTTCTTCCATCTACTCATCGGCTACTGTTAATAGCTCAGACGTCTCACATGCTGTTCAAGACAACGCTCTACCTCCTCTTATCAGTCTTGACGAGGTTGTAGGGGGAAATTCGTCAGCTCCAATCTAAAAGGTCATGCGGCCTTGATGCCATACCAAACTTTATTGTTAAGGGGTGCGTGGACATTCTAGCTCCGGTGTTTCAATGCATATTTAATTAGTCAGTGAAGCAATCAGTTTTCTCACTTGCATGGAAAAACGGCTTAGTAATTCCACCTTTCAAATCTGTTAACACAACAAATGTTCGGAACTAGAGACCGATATCTTTGCTCGCTGTTTTTTCGAAGGTGTTCGTAAATGTAATCCATGATGATTTGACAGATCGTTTTACGCGCGTAATACCTGATACGCCACACGGTTTCATGCGCGGTCGTTCTGTTGAGACGAATCTTGTGTTTCTTAAATGATGTTGCACCCACTTTTTTTTCTCGAGGACAAACTAATGCTGTGTATTTTTGCTGTAGTAAGGCATTCGACCATGTGAGTAATAAGCTATTGTTACATAAACTTTCTGTGTACGGTCTTAGTGATGATTATTGTTTTTCGTTAGACAGTTATCTTTCTGGAAGAGCGAATGGTCTCAGCTGTGCTCATGCAAAGTCACCCTTCTTTCTTGTACCATCTGGAGTACCCCAGGGGTCCAACCTTGGGCCTCTTTGTTTTAATGTATTCCTCAAGGACATCCAAGGCGTCGTTCATCATTCACGTCTCTTGCAGTTTGCAGATGATCTCAAAATCTACAAAAACTTATTGACATTAAGTGACTCTATTCTACCTGAAGAAGATGTTAACGCCATATGTCAGTGGTGTCTACAAAATGGTCTTACAGTCAACTTCGAAAAAAACAATGTTATATTTTTTCCGCGCAAGAATACTTCTACTTACTTTGTGTACAGCTTAGAAAGAGCGGCTATTATTTTTGTACTCTGTGCAAAAGACCCTGGAGTTTTGATTGACTCAAAACGTATTTTTAACTCGCATGTGTCGCATGTTGTGAGCTCTCGTTTACAACTTCTTGGTGTAATCTCACGATTTATCAAAAGGTTTTCAAGTGTATATCTTTAATGTGTGCTTTACCGGAGCATAGATCTACCTAAGCATAATTTTTGGTCAGTGATCTGGAGCAGTTTTAGTACGACCGCTTCAAAACATCTAGAACGTATATAGAAAAGGTTAGCTAGAATTTATCATTTTAGATGTTCACATGACTCATACGTGTAACTTGAAGTACTGAAATCATTACTGATATGTGAACTTGCAACAAGACAATGTTTGCGCGACATTGTATTTTTCTTTAAATGTAAACACAGTTACTTCGTCATTAGCTCATTAGTTTCATTTGTTCTTTTCCATGTACCTGAAAGAAAGGTTCGAAATCACCGCACGTTCCTCGTTGGCCCGACAAACTTATGTCATCATCGGGTCGTATTCAAAACTATTTAAACCATCTACTCATCTGATAGAAACTTTTTCAATACAAATTTGTGCCGATTTAAAATGTGCTTGCGCCATGTATGCGGTTAATGCATATACGTAGTCACTGCTCAGTATTTTGTTTTATTTTTTTGTTTGCATTTCTTACCTTTCTTATTCTTTATTTATTTGTACTCTTGTTTTACTACTAACGAGCGCACCGGTGCTTAGGCTTCGGCTGTTACTGCGCACAATAAATAAAACTATTATTATTATTATTATCGTAATTTCATGGCACGCGATGCCATTAGGTCGCGTGATGGTTAGTATACATTCTGTGTTTACTGTGTGTAGCGCCTCGGCTGTCGACGCAGTTCAATTGCAGGACAGGGAACCGAGAATATTTTTTTTCAATGGACTCCAGAAATTTGGAGCATACCTTGGCTGCCCTACGTCCTCATAAGGGGCTGTCTCGGGAACTGGTGACTGCGGGAGATAAACCGCCTGTTTCTCCGCGTAGGTGATCCAGGACGACGAAGTGGTGGCCATCCTGGGCAAGGGGGACGTGTTCGGCGACGCCTTCTGGAAGGAACCGACCATCGGGCAGTCGTGTGCCAACGTGCGGGCGCTCACCTACTGCGACCTGCACTCCATCAAGCGGGACAAGCTGCTCGAGGTGCTCAACTTCTACCACGCCTTCGCCAACTCCTTCGCGCGCAACCTCCTGCTCACCTACAATCTAAGGCACAGGGTGAGTACGTCCTAGTGGTCGTCATCTTCGTGCGAGAGATGTGTGTGCAGCGATAATAGTGCCGCTAGATCTTTGTGTGACCTAACGTCATCGTGGCACGCTTCTTTCACAGCGATAGCTCTCATGGGGACTTCCCAGATGCATTCGCGGTGTCGGCGTTGTGCCAGGCAAACATTCCGTTTCACGCGCGCTCACACGTGCGGACCGTGAGGCCAGGCAAAGCACGCCACTCGACGTTTGCAGGAATAGTCCAGTTGCGCCATTTGCGAGCTTCTGATAAATTCCCGCTTGCCTGGGCCTTGCTCAGCCCAAGGGAAATAATTGCGCCAAACTATTTTAAGTCGAACAAATCTGCGAACGAATTGGTTTTTGGAAAAGTTTTTGTTTTCAGTTGGCAACTGTGGGAATCTAGATGGGTTCGGCCATCCCAATCCAATCTAGGTTTCCGGTTCCGCAGCACTGTTTCACAAAGTTCGTAGCACTTTTAACTACATTCTGTACCGCACCGCAGTTTTAACAGTTTTAGTTGCATTTCGAAGCGCACTAATGAAGATTAGCAGGCACAAGTAATATTTTTTTCTGCGTGCTTACGATTCGAAGTGTGACACCGTTTTATACCAATTTGCTAGAAGCACATGGTTCTCATTTCGTTAGCATGCTCAGTCGGGACTGCTTGGTTGCGAAGTGTTGCCTTTTTTCACGTCAAATGATCTAAATCCTTGATCGTACAACTCGTTAAAATGTCTTTACAGTAGGAAATACCCAGAATATAATTATTGATTATTTGATGGATTCACGTGACAAGACTTTGCATACTGCTAATTTATTCCTCTACCTAGAGCAGGGGTCGCGAAACCCCGGCTCGCGGACACGCTCCGTCCAGCCCGCAGATGGCCGCGGTCTTTCCAGTGATGTCCGGCTCGCGGCCAGGCATCACTGGAAAGACCGCGGGAAAGGAGGCCCTTTCCAAAGTTCGCTCTGCAAAAGTTGGAAAAGGAGGAAGGAGCTTCCACTTTACTCTGAACCTGTCATCGACTATAGTACAGCATAACAGCTAAATTTCGGTTCTTAATTGGAATCACTTAACTGGTCGCATGAATGCATGCCGGTATCACTAATAGGGAACTGCACCAAAATGCTCCAAACTTACGTGTGTGCTGCTCCAAAGCTGCTCTAAAAAGCGACTTTTTTATACAAATCTGCCCCATAACGATATGTTTTCTGCTCTAAAGATTGCTTCAAACTTAAAGCTGGCTGGACCACCACTGCTCTTGCTAAACGGCAACGGCTTCTACTTCTACGATTGCCGGGAGACGTTAGCACACTCCGTTCACCCTTATGCTGAGACTGCAACCAATGCTGAAAGCACGAGAGCTCGAGGTCGCTGCTTTTAAGCGTTCTCCCGCAGAACGTGTATATGCTCACTCTATACTCTGTTTCACCTTATGTTGTACCGCAGGAAAGGCTATAAGCGCGAGCTCCTTGCTCCTGGGGCAGATCTCGGCAGCACAACCTCTCGTGCAGTAAGGACAGCTGCCAACGCTATGAGCTCGCGCTTCTAGCCTTCGCTGTGGTACAACATAAGGTGAAACGGAGTATAGAAATGCACGTCTCAAAGCCAGAAGCGCGGGCTTGCTCCAGCGCTTGTAGTTTTGGCTGCAGTATCAGCTTAAGGTTGAAAGGAGTATACAGCTTTCTTAGCGTAGAACTCGATATGCTTTACTATGAGATGTAAAGCAAGCCACCACAATAGAGATCGGTGGCTATTGGCGACGGGCGCGACCAAGAGCGTCGCATCGGTCGACTTTCCATAATTGGCCAAACGCTCACTCTTTAGTGGGATCAATTCTACTTTCCTTAATGGAAATAAGAAGAATGTTTGACTATCAACTTTGACGGTGTTGTGTTTGGAAGAGGTGACTTCAAGCTTCCACCGTGCTTCTTACACACCGTCGAAACTGTCGCTGGCGATCAATGATCCTAACTGTGATGTCACAGAAAGGAACCATAAGAGGAAGTCACCGAAACATCCCGTCGTTTTTCCTGCCGTTCTCAGTCACGTGGGTTCCGTATTTGGTAGGCGGGATGGAAAAATAATAACACAATTCAACCTGAAATATGCGAGAAAATGTAGGTGAGGCAAAACTAGAATCTGTGATAATCACGCATTTTTTTAAAACCCTTCCAGCGGCGTGGAATGATCAAAACAATGTTTTACCGCATGCCAGAATTGACGAAATTGAAGATGGTTGAGCCCTTTTGACTTGAAGAAGGGCGTCCGCCTGAAACGTCGTGTATACCTTCCTGTCCACGTACTTTTTCGAGTAGCACAACGATATAATTGTGATTTCGTGTTTTAGCTCGGTGTGCTCGGCAGCGCCCCCATTCTCTTGGATACTCCCTCGTAGAAAAGGTGTAGAGGCTCTGCTTGCAGAGCTAAAGTATCGCGCTCATTTTCATTTCACCGCCCACTCCGTATTGGCAAAAAAGCGGTCAATTGCACCGAGCTGGATCCAACCTTAGTGCAAAAAAAGCGACTTTACATGCGCCAAATTTCAAACTGAGTATGTTTCTCGCTTTACGTTGTGAAATATACATCCTACACTAAAATCAAATGAACTGGAAAGTTCTTGGTTCATTGAACATTATGTGTAGCCACTGGGTACAGTATAATCACGTTGTCTTATAACGCGAGCGTTATTTTAAAACATGTTTCCAAAGTCTGGGAAGCAGACGACACGGAGGACGATCGCGCCGCTCGCGTCTGTGGCTCTCGCGGAGTGATACGCGACAGGCACATCAGCGGACCTCGGACCAGACAACAACACGCGCCTACTGCTCGTGAAGGGACGACGTTTTCGTCGACTTCTACGTTCTACCGAGGACATCGAGAGAAACAGGAGACAATAGTTGGGAATATGGCGGAAGCGCGGCGTGTCGTCGGACTATATCTTGTCTTTTGCGCTCGCCGCAGCACGCCGCCTCACAGCCACGTAACCCGCGCCTCCGGGTCTTTTATAGAAGTGACGGTTGCTTCCGGCAGTGCAACTTGGATCTGACATGGCCACCCTGCAGCAACATTGTGATACTTTGCTCCGCCAGTGGAACATATGCAGTTATTTTAGCGCACACCAGCTCGGAGCATGTCGAGCGAAAGCTCGCCCTGCAGAACTCAGGAACCGTAGGCTCAATAGGGGGTATTCACTGGCCGCCATAGTTGTGTGTGTGACTGCTGAGCGCGTGCTGACAGCGAGCTTCCATGGTTCTTTTGCAACTTGCATTTGCCGGGCTTAGCAGCCTATTAATATGAGCTCGGTCTGAGCATGCGCTCTGTATATCGCCCTCAAATATGGTGCCCAGTGACTACCTCCTATAATCCGTTCGCCCTTAATTTGAGACTAGAAGCTCCGCCTTTAGCGCGTGCTTTCTGCCCTTGCTAACACAGGTGTGAACGCGCTGGCACACGCAACCAAAGCGCTGAAGGCCGAGCTTCTAGTCTCGGCTTAAAGGTGAGCGGAGTACACACCTTTACCGGAAGAGCGCTTCTATCTTGAATATCGTCACTTCTGGTACGCGATAAAACATCGTTTTGATCTCTCTACGCCGCTGGAAATTGTTTACGGGAAATGTCTGATTGTCATGCATTCTTGGGTTGCCTCACCTATATTTTCTTGCATATTCCAAGTTGAAATGTTTTATTATTTCTTCAGCGCGCATACCAGCTACGGAACCCACTTGACTGAGAACGTCAGGAAACAGAAAAAGTCTATATAGACAATTTCCAGAAGTCACGTGCCGATTGAAAAAAAATATTTGATCCACTGTCATAGCCTCCTATATACTGTCAAAGCCTGGCAGATCGCTACGAGAAGCGGCTGCCGAAATGGTAAAGGTGGAGCGGCAGACAACGGATGAGAGCAGAGCCACGTGACTAGCGCCCCGCAGCGGCGCGACGCCAAAACGCATTTCCCTCGAGCGAACAAGTGTGTTTCGGGTCCTCGCCGCTGCAAGAGCTGCGTGCTGACGCCCAGGTTTCCTGAGAAATGACTCTTTGATGTTCTGTGCTACCAGATCCACGCGCTCTAAATCTACGACCGGGTACTCTATAGCTCCGTCGTCGAACTGCCAGGCTTTGTGAGTATAGAGAAGGCTATGGCGCTGCAAAATGCTGGAACAACCGACTCAGCGGAACGTGCAAGCTCCGCTGAGTCGGTTGTCGGTTGGAGCACAAGTCGAAGCAGGTAGCTTTGACATGTGCTTCCGCTTTACGAAGGTTCGTGCAGCCGGGGTGCAATCGAAAGTAGGAAGCTCGCCCTTGTGTCCACCATTGTGCAGGGGTTCTACAGCTTCCAACAGAGGGCATACTTTCGAAATGTGTCTATCCCCACCTCTTTCCATTTCATCTGGATGAGCATCGTAGTGGCGTGCGGTCGTGTACCACTACCTCGTGGTGGACGTTAAAGACCCACGGCTAGCGGTTGTATAGCACTGGCTAAATTTATAATCTACAGCTGGGACACCACACGCCTATTGGGGTTGACTAACTTCCGGCTGTATGAACATAAACACAACTTTAAGCCACCACTCGTAGCCGTACCTCTCTCGACTAAGGCAGGAATGTGAACTCGTGCGGGCGGTGTTCCCGTTCTTACATACTTCAGTGGGCACAAAGCTGTGTTGTGTGTGATCGAGTAAATAAAAAGGGAATATAGATAAAAGTAGGTGTTGCTACGCCCAATAGCAGCTATCGTTGTTACTTTTTCGCACACTGTGGCGAGGAGCACCGCCTGGGACGCATTTTTTTTGTACGGCGAATAGTCCATTCATGCGCTTAAGTTGAATGGAAGTTGAATGGGTCTTGACATCTGTCCATCGACACATTCGGCTGAGGTATTAAATGAAGTCATACTGAATATACAAAAGACGAACGACACGGAGGTGGAAACACGACGCTGTATCGGCATGAAAGTGTCGTGTTGTCTCTCACGGTCTTCTTTGTCTCTATTTGTTATCCAACAGGAATAGGACCAAATATAACCCCGTCGCCAGGGTCTTATTTCAAAACGCCGTGTTTGTTTGCGCATCAAGTTTTTCTACCACGTGGAGTATTAATTGTTTAGAAGGACGAAAACAAGAATCGGTTTTCTAAGTTTGTACGCCTTGATGCATGCCTAAGTATATTCATGTAGGATCCTTACTGAGGCCAAGATATAGACGTGCTTAAACAGCGAAATTGTTTTTGTTTTTTTACTGGTTTAGTGTGTATGTGCACTAACGGTAATGTTGAACAATGGAGAATATTTCTTTCTCTTTAGAATGCTCCACGTCAGAACCACTCAGGCTTTTTTGTTGGACGGCAACGGGCAGAAAGTGCGCAAATCGTTTCTTGCCGTCCCATTAAAGTCTTCTCTATATGCCGCGAACACCACCCAAGAGCTGACCTGACCCTGTAGAAGGATCAGTGTCACGCATGCCGTCGGTCCGGAAGAAGATCGCCGGGTCCTTGACCGCGGCATCCCTGACCCGCATCGGGAGAATCTCGGCGTCGGCCTTGGACCACCACCTGTGTCTGCGACTCAGACCGCACGCGACACTCTTCAGGCGCCTCTATTATGCATCGACAAGGGCGGTGCCTTCGCGGGCTTGCCTCTCCGTGTTCGTGCTTTTGTTCCATGGTTTCATGCTTTGTTTTATGGTTGTACCTTTGTTTCCCTCTCGCGGCTTTTTTCTGATTTGTTTTATTTCTGCTGGGAACTATCATCGTGCATGCGGACGTAAGCTAGGGGAGCGTTCGATGGTTTGATAATGGTCGATGCGCTTGCCTCTTGGCCAGCCTTTTTTGTGTGTGGATGATTAGGTGACGCAGAAGGTAGAGGCGATTTCTACTGGTGGTGCTGATGTATGTTATTACGCAAGGAAAACTTAAGGAAAAGAACAATGACGACAGACGCGCAAAGCATTTACAGTTGTAAGCACACCGAGATATGCGTAGACCCTTTTCTTCCTGCTCGCCAGATTTGAGCAGCCATCACTGACCTTCTGTTGTCTCACCATATGTCCTATCACTGAAACGGATAATGACGAATTACGGGAAAGGCCGCGTCGGGGCAACGACAGTGGCATGTCTAAAATATCAATAACAGGTCACACAACAACAGAGATGAAGTAAAAGGGACAGATTGAAAATAATAAAAAATATGAATGTCAGTTGTGGCAGCGCCCAAGCACCTCTGTTGAAAAGCGTCCGTAACACTCTGGCGACTCGTGCTAGACTTGCGTGTGTCTGGTAAGTGGGTTCCTTACATACGTCAACTTATTTTTCACCCTGCAGCTCATATTCCGCAAGGTATCGGACGTGAAGCGCGAGAAAGAACTCGCTGAGCGACGCAAGCACGAGCCGCTCCAGGAACTCTCCCAGGACCACCTGGTGCGCAAGATCTTCTCCAAGTTTCGCAAAAACGGCGGGAGTGCCGGCGGCGACCACCGGTCTCCAGCATCCCCGCTAGCCGCCCTCCCTTCCCCAGACGTCGAGAAGGGAGGTCTTGTACGTCCCACCTCCCAGGCGCCTGCTGCCGCCGCCGCCAGCCACGAGCCCGTCCAAACGGCCAGGGTAGTTCACATCTCCGAGGCACCTCCGTCTCATGCGCCAAAGCTGTCCCGCTGGGCGACGCTGCGTTCAGACTCAACAGCCGGTGGCGATAACAAGGAGAACCAGCAGGCCGATAACGTCCCACCCAAGCCAACTGTCCCAGCCGTTCTCCCAGTCAAGGAACCCGTGGCCGTGGCAGTTCCGCCGCGGCCGCCGGTGCCAGCAGCGACGTCCAACGGGGCAGTGTCCTTGCGCGGATTCTCCAAGTGGGCCAAGTCCATGGGCTCCAAGCACGAAACTATCGAGGAGGGGCCCGAAACAGAATCGACAAGCCCCAAGGGAGAGTCGGATGAGACCCCGTCGCAACCATCGGGGACACGCCACGTCGTGCAACAGACGCATCAGATCCAGACGCAGCCCCCTCAGAGACCCCCTCCCCTGCCCCCGCTGGAACCACCGCACGGCGCGGACAGTGCGCTCTCCCCGAGGGGTTCCGGCAGGGACTACCAGCACCTCCTCGCCAATTTGATGGACATGCGCGTAGATCTCAAGATGGAGATCCAGCGGTTACACACCAAGGTGTCTCGCATCGATGATCACCTGATGGAACTTCTCAAAAGTGTGTCCTCGTCGCCGCCTTCGTCGTCCTTGACCCCCAGGGCGGAAGGTCCCTCGGAGGACGCCTCGAAGCACTGCAAGCTCGCGCGAGACACCGGTGACAAGGGACGCGGCCACTCGCTCAAGAGAAAGTCTAGCCACAAGGCGGCACGGACCGCCGACAAGGAGGGCTCCAAGCCGGCCCAAGACGCCAAGTCCCCCGTTACAGACTCTGCAGTGCGTGCTATGCTTGAAAGCGAAATCGCCGAACAGGAGTCTGAAATGGCCGCGTCGTCGGCACCGCCTGTTACAGGGGACTCTCCCGAACAGGACAAGCAGCAATAGCGTTACGCCCCCCGTTCTTACATATGTTTGTCCTTTTACATGAGACTCCCTCTTCACGCCCATTCCGTGCCTGGTTCTCCCTGTTTAACGCTGACCAATCGCCGACGGCAGGGAGGTTTTGAAAGACGTATCACGACGTTGTCGTGGTCGAACTCTATAGGCAATCTACGCGCGGGTACAGAATACCTCAAAGGGATTGGTGGGACATTGGACGGACCGTGTAATCTATTCTTGCGGTGCATCCTGCTGTAATTCAGTACAAAGGCGTAGCTGGACTCAAATTTAGAAAAACAATGTCAACACATTGAGGGCAAAACGCCAAGAAAATGAGCACAAAGCAGGTGACGCAAAACACTGCGTATGGTGAAATCAAACATACCTTCTCCATCAATCTCTTTTTTTAAAGGTGAATTAGAACGAACTAATCCAATTAGTCATTATAATGTAAACGCATCGCTACCAAACTAAAACACGAAAAAGGAAGGTTTACTTGAAAAGAAAAGAAAACATTGTGCACAATTCAGAGTAGACCACGCAAATGAAGACGTTTTACAGAGCTTTATACTCATGCTAATTAAGTTAGATGTTTTCACGTCTGTAATAAAAATAACACGTTTTTGTTTGGTCTTATTTTTTAATGAAAGCAAGAAAAAATAAAATATAGTGACATCTCATGCATAAGGATTATATGCCAACTGACTTCACAGTCTCGTGCAATTTTCGTTCTAACCTACGGCTTATACTTAGAGCAATGCTTTCTCTTTGTTCTTTTTACAATTTTGTTGCACAGAATGGTGCTAAAGTACAATAGCATACCTTTGGAAATTGATTCGTGGGAACTGTCCAAACTCTTATAGATCCCTTTGCGGTTCATGTACGCGGCCGATTTCTAGATGAAAACTTGCGGTTCGGTTGTCTGTGTTCATCAACCTGCGCACTTTGACTGTCGGGCGACACATGTGAACCAACCGGGCCTGTCTGGAGCCACTGAACTGGCTGCACTTAGAGTATCGCCACTCCATTCCCCGATTTTCTCGCGGGCGCCGGATTTTTATGATTAGTCTAGAGCGTGCCAATTATCGATGGGTATACGATTAGACAATGCGACTTCCTGGGCTAGAGATCAATCGTCGCGAAGCTCAGGCGGTATCGTTTTGTTCTCTTGCCGACTGGTTTCACATTCCTGGAGGACGTAAACTTCTTCCCTATAATTTCAAACGAGGATGCAGATAACTGTTATCATTGGTTTTAGGCGCCGAATAGGCTTAGGAGGGTGAGGGGAGGAATCTTACTTTTAGTTTTTATGCTAGGTGGCTAAAGCTACCGCACGTTTTAAAGGGTAGAGCCATTGGCATCCATCCATCCAACGGATGAGGCGTCGGTACTCTGCAGCGTAGCCCATTTAGTGGCTCTAGTCACGTCGCATCGTCTTCTAGTTGGTTTGAGTAGTTTGGGGGCCCGACAGCCGAACCTTGCGAGGCTGAGATTAGGGTCGGACTTGGGTGTCGGCTTGAAGGTCGACAATCTATTTGCATTAGACGATGCTTACATAAGTGGGACTTTTTAGGATATAGCTGGTGACTACTTCAATTCGAAAGTGCGCCGAGATCATTCCAGTGGCGCGCTCATGGCACGATTGCTTTCCAATCATGTATTTCTTAAAGTGACCATTGAGTTGTTTTTTTACTTTTATTTTTGTTAATTATCTGTTTGTTTCCTTGTTATAACGAGATGCTCGCACATCGCCCTCCAGCACAACGGTTTGTAGCTAGGCAAGAAATGCGTAACGCAAGACACCTATTTTTTGCGACATGCAGTTTCCCGAATGGTGGCAGGTCTTTTCTGGCCTAATTGGTGAAATAGTGCATCATAAGACCACACGACGAAACCGTTTTTATCACAACCCGACTCGTATCTTTCGACAACAAAAGATTGTTCTGAACTGCTGTCGCTGAAACAAGTTTGAAGCATTATTGGCATGCGCTAAGCAATTCCCAAAGAAAGGGGATGGGAGTTAAAGAATACTTCTCGTTGAAAATACAAGAGTCAAGTTACCTAGTAATGTTAGAACTACCTTCGAGATCCTGATTCTGTATATAATGAATTGCGCATTTGAACACATAAATCTCTGGTTGAGGTTATGAAAATATGTCTACCAATTAAAAATACTTCACTTCATCAGGAACACGAGATAAAAAGAAATGCTTTACTCGATAACAAAATGATTAGATGAACGATCCGCACACTCAACCTTGCAACAACTTTTTTGTCACGTGATCCGTGCGGTATCATTGTAATTCCTTTAGTCGGTCTCGGATATTCCAAAGCGTTTCTCGTGCGCGCAACGTTTACTGCCACCACGTTAATGTTGACTTGCCAACAACCTGTTGCACACAAAAAACAAAAAAACAAACCTCCACCCTGGGAAACACTTGCTGCTTGTCTGCCACTCTCGTGGCGTGCGTCTGTCGCGCTCATAGCACAAGGTATAGCTGGCCTGAGAACCAATCATGCTCTTTCCACTGTGATTCTATATTTGAAAAACCAAAACCCTGGTGGGTTTGGAAGTTGTTTACATTATTGAGATTTCCCACATTGCACATTGTCCTCCTTCGGGCACCATTCAGCCTCGCACAGCACTACCGACGTATGCAAACGTTTTTAGGTCTAACGCAGACACGGTGAACGAAGCACGTCTTCGACTGGTGATTAGCGTCCTACACCGCCCATGCATCAAAAGTCGTCCCGAAGTGGCACTAAACGACGTCACAGGAGCTGGCGTGTCATGCTGTGTCGGATGTCGCGATCCTCGAAGTTGATCCTAGAAATTCCGGCAAAAAAGGCGAGCAAACGTCAGTGTCACTGCATGTCGTCGTGGCGTCCCAACTCGTCGCTGCAGAAGCTTTCGTGAACCGTCAAGCTGAGAGCGAGCCACAGCAGGACAGACGTTTTTTCGTGTCAGCTAAAGTCACTGGACCCTTGGAAAGTAGCGCCATTGCCTTCCCTGCCTGCTAGTCGAACACAAACAAATTTGTCGTGCAAGTTCGTCTGCTTCTTGCACGCGGGTTGCGATGATGTCAGGACGCCGGGCCCTTATTAATGCCAAAGCATGAACTGTCCCATGGAGTGAGGCTGGCGTTGTCTGTAGCCGTCTGTAGCAGCGAAACGGCAGTCGAATTCCCGTTGGCCAGCAAAACTGCAGTTAAATTCCCATTGGCCAAAAGCACAGCAACGCAGATGCATTGTCACAGAAGCCGTGGAGCCCTCGGGGTTCGCCGCGCCTGCGCAGTGGGGAGCATGATATCACCGCCAGAGCGCCGTGTGAAAATGGAAGAGTTGGCGCGTTGCTTGTAGTAATGCGCTGCGTGTAGGAATGCGAAAGCGTTCCTACATGTAAGCCAACTTAACTGTCCTCGTTAGTCTTTTGGCTCCTTGAAAAAAAAATTATGGTTAGACCTCATGGCATCTATCATTAAGGTCTACCCACTACCCTTTCTATCAAAGCCAACAAGAGCTCGGCGGTGTCCTGGACTCGCCGTAACCCCTGCGCAAGAAGCAGACGACTTGGCCAACGCACACCAACATACAGACAACCAAACCTCGCAAGGTGATTGGCTGATCGGTCTCAGTTGCCATGGCAATAGCCATTTCGGTCCATTGAAAATTTTCGAAGCTTAGAAAGGGTCGTTCTGAACCAGTCGCGTCAAGATCGCTATGAAGCGTTGTCGCACCGAAAGCGTTCCTTGCCATATATAAGCGTATTTGTCATTGTGTACGCAATCAACATCTCAATCACGCAATGATTGAGATGTTCATTGCGTAAAAGATCATCATTGTGAGAGATCAATCGTGATCTCTTACAGTGATGTTGCTTTTTATGCGTATTTCAAGACAGACAATTGTTTTAAAGCCTCCAAGTACTGAAGTTGCATGTAGTGGCGATACGAAGATGTATGCTTTTTTTCGCTTGTGTGTGTAGATACCAAAATCTTGGTATACAGGAAACGTCACCATCGAGTTAGATCGGCTTATCAAGCATGAAGAGGTCAAAAAGAAATTTCCCATGGCGAGAACCCAAAATGGCGACCATTCGGAGAACTTGGCGCTACTTTTCCAGGATCCAGTTTCTTCAGTATCAGCATCCGCTGCTGTACCACCGCAAGGATCGGGACAGGCAACAGCTTGACCCTTTCACGACGTCATCCGGCGGAAAGCGAGGGACCACATTTGAGGACGCGGAAGACACACCAGTCGGGGCCGCGTTTCATGCACCAGTAGTCAAAGCACAAACCAGAGTCGGCTGTTAGATATGAAAGCGATGCTGGTCCGTTTTTGTTCTGGGTGCTTCTGTCACACATAATCTCGAAAATACCTACAAAACAGCTGTAAAAGCACAGCTAGAGTTAACGGTTTGCAACCCTGGGCATGTCGGTCGACCATGGTGTAGCTTTTTATCACCTGTATTGAAATGGACTTCCCTTTTCAGGGAGAGTTCCGCGCATGCGCAAGCACTCGCCACGCATCGGCAAAAGCTCGAACTACGATTAGCGTACGGAAGGGGAGCTGCGCTACCACTTCTGCCTCCTCCGCGACTTAGGTTCGCGGAAGAGGAAGGAGAGGTAGAGCAAATCCCCTCGCAGGCGCCAATCGCACTTGAGGTTTTCGCGGCTTGGTGTCGCCTGTATGCGAAAAAAGATTCATTCGACGGTAATCGAATGACTTCGCGGGAAGGGGGGGCACCAGTTGAGCCATTGCTTAGCGCTCATTGTCAAAATGTACAAGATGTAGCCCTTTCAGAGCTTACAGGTGAAAAATTCGAAATCACTGGGATGTGGACGCATGCGAGGTGTCTAATATTCCGGAGTAGAAAGCCTCTGCGATTGCCCCGAACGTGTTCTATAGACCAGTCGAGAAAGATTTCGGCACGCAAAAGGCGTTTATAGGATGGGCCTATACTCGGACGTTTCCACAGTATGTTCGTGGCAGAATGCGCACTTTCC